AACTTTTTGCGTCCCTTCTCCTTATGATTAACTTTAAATTATGCAGCGCTTATTACATCGCGTATTGTACCTATTTGAAAAAGGGTGAGAAGGGAAAATTTGGTTTTCTTTCTTTCAATTTTAATAAAATCCTTCAATTGTCCTTCTATAAAATTTTATTCTATAATCATAATCGCTACCCTTAAACGAGCTAAAAAAATAAATTACCGGGAACAAATTTTCCGCAGCGGGCATGACTTTTTTTCCACCTTTATCGAGTTTAACGATTCGCGTTAAAAATTAAAAAAAAAATTGACTAGGTAACTGTCTAACGAACCGACGACGCGACGCAATTCCCACAACGAACCCTCACCGTCCGCTAATTATGACTATAGCCACCGACCGTTCTTCTCTAATCGGCGCTTTACAGCTGTTCAATTTCTACGCGCGCGTCTACAAATCGTGAGAAAACAAATGGATATGCTCCCTTTCGATCGTAGCTCCCTTTTAAAGCTCCGGTTTGTTTTTCCATTATGGCATTTAAGCCCGACGAGCTCTCTCTCTCTCTCTCTCTCTCTCGCTCGCTCTCTCTCTATACGCTTGAACTATGAATTGTGACTATATACAGGATGTCCCACGACCGGCGGTAATATCAAAAAAGCAGCACGATTCTTTTTAAAGAAATAAGGCGTATTAATTATTTTGAATTACTAAAATTCTAGTGATCGCCAAATATTGATTGTATTAAGTATTGCTTGAATGTGTAAATATATAAATTTAAATATAGTAAATTGCAAAAGTAAATTCTTGTATAAAATTATTAATGACAATTGTTAATTTAATAACTGTCCCGTTAAAAGAATTAACTTATAGAAAGGAAGAATATTTTGCAATTAATTAAAAGCACAGATGGTAGAGGTGTGCGAATAGTTCAAATTCAAATCGAATCAAATCGAATCACAATAGATTCGATTCGAGATCGTTTTCGAATATGCAAAATTCGAAATCGAATAGTTCGAAAATTTCGAATCAACAATGGTTCAATTTCGAATTGATCGCCTATTTTATTTGATTCATTTACATCTCCCGCGCGACCAATTATTCTTTTCTAATAAATAAGTATTTTTGGTATATGTAATGTATTCATATAGATTAATAAAATATTCGAAAGCATTCTAACTATTTGTGTATACACATATTATTAATATTTTCTAGTTCAAAATGACATAAGATCATGATCCTTTGTAATGAGATGTAAATCGAAAACAGGTCTTCAGTTTGTTTAAATCATTGCGTAAAATAATGTAAATTATAAATTTTGATATTTATTACGTTTAAATTAACATGTAATGTTAATCTGGGAAAATTCGATTCAGATTCGATTCGATTTCGAACATGTTATAAAAAATTCGATTCAACCATGCAAATGCTTGATTCGCACACCTCTAACAGACGGACATAGTGAGCAATTTCTGTAGAATAGAATAAAACGGCAACCCTTTAACATCATCAAGCTGTGTTCCATTTTCTTGTATTTTTTAATCAAGTGTCAGGAATTGCTTTAGGATTTACCTCTACTTCCAGCGAGGACGTTCTCTGTTTACGTGTACGTTATAATATATGTATATTATGCATATATATTACCACGATCCGGAAGTTTTTAAGTGTATCGACTAATAACTATACCCGCGAAACTATCTCAAATAAAGTAGCTTGCCACTCGAAATTATGGCATTTTCTTTTTTACAAATCAGAATGGAAATTGCACATGTTTTGGTTTTCATGCTTGTAACATATGAATATCAATCGTTGTATTAAATCGTTGTATACTAGCATAATAATAATAATAATAATAATAATAAATATTAATACCAATAATAATAAATAATAAATAATACTAAATACAATAATAATATTACAATGACAGTGATGTATGCGACGAAGTTGTCAAGAAATTAATATGTGATATTAATGAGATATATAAGGACAAAATGGCTTCAAGATGAAAATTTAAGATAACGCAAATTGTCCGATATCTTAACATTCTATCAATAATAAACACGGGAACAAAATAATTATCATGACTATGGAATCGAAAAAAATAACAATATCTCTACTGAAACAAAGAAATGAGCGCAAAACGAAGAATACAGCACGAATGAATGATACAATAAGCGATGGCGAACGCAGGAACGCAAACAGACGAAAATTATGAGACTTACGCAGGTCAAGCGAATGGTGCATAAATACGTATTGCGGATTTTCGTTGTATTCTACGCGAATAAATTAGTATTGCTTAATCTCGTTTTATTGTTCTATAGCCGTTATATTTATATGCTTATATAATGCATTAATAGCAGCGTGGCGTATTTATTTAATGGCTAGTGCCGCGCGAGATGGAATTTAAAAAAAAAACGAACCAAGCTCCACTGCGCGTCAAGCATTGATCGACCGATTCTAAGACTCGATTCGGTCCGTGAACGAGCTATGCGAAAAATATTGTTCGTTCTGTTCTCCCTGACAACTTTTGGCGGCGAGGTTCATTCTACTGTACATGCAAAATACATTATCTTCGATAATATAATTGTTACAAAAAAAAAGAATAATCGGGCAGATCGCCCGCATGCTCATTGGCCGTAATAATTATTATTAATTTAATTATTTTTTTCCCGCTGGGCGACGTGAAGCGTGCGGTCCACACCCCACCGATCGCGTTTATTGCGATTTATATTCTCTCTGACGTTGGGTGAAAAATGTGTGAAAATTATTGCTCGCGATTAAATGCGCAGCGATACAGTATCAATTTTACCCCATTTTAAAATGCAAAAATCAATTAATTGTTATGAAGAAATTAATAATTATCTTTTATACGGTTGCATAAGCGGCACAACGCAATACGCTGATTGAATTATGAATGAATATAACAAATTTATTCTGATAACATAATTCAATATGTAGACCAGCATCTGATGTATATTCATCACGTAAATGTCATTAATTTTTTCATAAACATGATTAAATACTCAATGCGGCACGATCTATGCAATTAGTAGAATCCGTTGCGTAGAATTTATTGGTTTTACCTGTGTAATATTATCAATTGATATCAATAAGAGCAATCCATATTATTACTGCAAATAATACAGAAACTCATAATTATAATAGCATAATATTACATGTAAAATATAATTTTAAAAATAGTACCGTCAAGTGGTTTAAGAGTGATAATTTAAAAATTGCAAAAGCAAATTATTACTATTAAAAAATATATCAATACTGATTTAATATTCAAAGTCGTCTATCTTCAAACACAAAAGACAGGCCAGGGGGGTGTGGATTGGGCGATCGTTCTCCATCATGCCTAAGCATATCGTCGGTTCCTGCACGAGACTTCATTAAACTTCGATGTGTTCGCCTCTATATGTATAATTATATAATTCGTTGTGTCGAAACATTGCTTTGACCGTACGTGTCGTCATATTTTTTTTTCCCTTATATTGCTTCTATAAAATATGTGTATAACAATGTTACGCATCTATTACTCGAATTTTTGCTCTAAGTACGTGGTGTGTGTACGTGTGAGGGGTCTCCCCGTTTATGCGATGTACCATTTACGCGTATCGCTTGCGCGCCCGCGATCGCAACCGCGGTCGATTCGCGCGCGAGCGACTACCCCCGCGACACCTCGCGCGCGCGCGCGCACTGTCGATTTTCTTCGCCGCCGATACGATATCGCGACATTGCCGCTCGTTTCGTGACTGTGAAAATTGTGCGCGTGTCACACCCGGTGTTACACGTGGCGCGTAAATCGCATAATCGTGCGAAACACGCAGGTGTGCGTCGACGATTTGGTTCGACGTGAAAAATGAGGATGAAAAAGGATAAAAAGATTTCTCGCCAAAGGGCGTCGGCGCGGTATATCTTCAGAAACTCGTAAGAATACCATACTCGTTCATTTCGTCGAAGATAACTCGCGACGCGGCATAACTCCGACTCCATGTGCGGTCGTTGGTTACCGCGCTTATCGATTAGCTATAGCTTTCATCGTTCTCCATCCCAATGGCTCGAAACCCAATGAAATATTAAGAAGAACGTCTACTGCGAACGACTGTTAACCTCCTTCTTACTAATTTTAGGCGCAAGTATCTTAAACAACCACATTAACATTATAGTTATATCAATCATAGTGCGATTATTGAAATCAGATAGCCAATATTCGGAGATAATTGGCTCGTCCCAAGTAATATTATTTGAAATCACCGGTAAAATATTGATGAATTGCAACAGATTGGATAATTCTGAATCGATTCCGTTTAGTTTTTTGCTATACTCTATGTCGAATTAATTCGGCACAGTTATTTCCGAGGATTAGTTTCTCGGCTTGTAATTTTTCTCCAATTAAAAATTTAATTTTCGACAATTGATCGCGAATCGCGGAGTCGTCGATCACACCTGCGCGTTTCGATTGTTGACGGCGATCGGCCTCGATCGTCGAACGCGAGGCGCGAAATGGGAAGGATCGAGGCCGCGCCGTGGATTGGGATTCGACGAGCGCGGCTCGTGAACCGCGATTATGGATCCGTCATCGATCTGGCGAATCTTGGATCTCTCTTGCTTCACTCCCCGTTTTAATTTAGGCAGCTAAATATTAATAAATAATGTCTTCGTAACGAGCTTCGCGGACTAGAATCGTACGCGCTAGTAAATATATATATACTATATATATATAATAATATAATATAATATAATAATATATCATATAATGTAATAGGTATATAATAGACTAGAGTGACTAGACTCTGCAGTGTGGACGTCATCCTTCGACGTGTTTTTTTTCTTCTTTTACGACTTAACATTACTGGACGTTTTTATTAATGTGTTAGACATTATTAATAAACTCACGCTCTCCCTCTCTCTTGCTCCCTTTCTTTCTTTCTTTCTAATTCTCTACTCGTCTTCCCTTTTCACTCTTGCTTTCTTTCTTTCCTTCTCTTTCTCTCTCTTTCGCTCGTTCTCTCTCTCTCTCTCTCTCTCTCTTTCTCTCTCACTCGCTCGCTCGCTCTCATTTCTGTCTCTACTGGCACTTTTCTACTTAAAATCTACGGCAAACCTTATATCCTCTCCTCTGCTCTTCGTACCCTCGCGCCTCTTCGCGATCGATCAAGCGGCGATCATAGAGCACCGCTAGCTCTCTCTCGAGCCCTCGATCCTCGTGATGTCGTTGTTCTCCTTCTCGAAGCGCTGCTACAAACCTCGATTGGTGTTCTGTTGCTGCGTGGCGTTATTATCGGCATGCTGCGGCTGCGGTTGCTGCTGCTGTTGCTGCTGCATCTCCTCGTCGCGCAGACACGCCGACTCTAGGTGTTTGTTTAGATAGGACTTGAGGGCGAAGGTCTTGTGGCACCTCGAGCACTCGTAATTCTTGTCGGCCGAGTGCGTCTGCATGTGCGCCCGTAGATTCGAGCGATCGGCAAACGCCTTGCCGCAGTGAGCGCATCCGTACGGCTTCTCGCCGGTGTGGCTGCGCAGGTGACCCTGTAGCAACCAGGGCCGCGAGAACATCTTGCCGCAGACGCCGCAGCTGTGGGCGAGCTTGTGCGTTAGCACGTGCATCGCCAGGGCGGGCATACTGACGTACGCCTTGCCGCAGTGGATGCACTTTTTCGCCGATTGTGAATCGAGGCTACGGTGCGTCTGCTTGTGCCGCGACAGGTTCGACGACGTGGCGTATTGCTTGCCGCACTCGGTGCACGTGAACTTGGGCCTGTCCGGTTGGGCCGCCTCTTTCTCAGGCACGGCAGCACCATTGTTGTTGTTGTTGTTGTTGTTGCTGCTGCTGCTGCTGCTGCCGCGTCGTTTTGATCGGCCATCGGACACGAAGAAGGCCTCATAGGTGTAGGCGACAGTCTTACTGCCGCTGGTGGTGCTGTTGGAAGGCGAACATGATTATGACGATTCTCAGATGACGAGGCTTTCGAAACTTCGTGCAGTTTAGCCGTTTAGGATGGTAGAGGCCCAAATGTTTTGAAATATACATGTGAGAGCATCAAGATTTGAAAATAAATTTTACTGTCGCTTTATTTAGCCTCCTGCATTATATTTATACGTCTCCAAACATTAAATATAAAATCTTATACAACGTAATTTCTAATATTTTATATCGTGCCCTCTATAAATGATATTTCTTTTTCGAAATATCGATCGTTAAGTGTGTTAATGTTACTTAATAAACAATTGTTTAAACTAAAATATACGTAAGTAAGAAAATACTTTCAGAATTTCACAATTTATGAATTACTACTCCGCTGCTCCGAAAAGAAAGCAAAAGAGGGAAGGGGGTTAAATTGTCGAAGCGTGAGACTCACCTGTCCCTGCCGACGTTGCAGTTTCCGCCGGTGGCTTCCGCGGTCGCGGGCGACTGCGGCTGCGGTGGCGTTTGCTCCTGTTGGCGTAGCTGATTGGTCTGCGAGCTAGGCACCGGCACGAGCACGGAAACCGGTATACTCGTGATTGACGCCGATTGTAACTGTTGCTGTTCCTGTTCCTGTTGTTGTTGCTGCTGTTGCTGCTGTTGCTGCTGTTGCGGTGCGGGCACGTTCGGCGCTGCAGCAACGGTGGCAGCGGCGGGTGGAGGTGGTGGTGGCGGCGGTGGCGGCGGCGGTGGCGACAGGGTGTGAATAAAAACGGAATGCGTGGGTGCGGCGGGCGACGCGCTAAGATCTAGAATGGCCTGCGCGGCCGATAGATCCTCCTCGGCAGACGTGCGTATCTCTGAGATCGATTGCAGGCTGTAAGGACGGTAGATGTCCTTCTTCTTCGGCGGTAGGGAGAGCGCCGTGCCGGTGCTGGTGAAGGACATTGAGAGGCTCTTCCGCGGCGGCAGGCATAGCGACGCCGATGCGGCGGACGACGATGAGGACGAAGACGATAATGTCGGATTCGTGGTGATTACCGTCACCTGATGCGACGGCGCTTGGTGCATACCCGGCCCAGTCAGCATCGAAATCGGTAGCTCCTGCTGCGCTACCGGAGGTGGCGGCGACGGCGCTACCGGACGCGCCAGCTCCGCCGCGGAGCGCAACGTCGCATACTTGGGCGGCTCCTCGTGATTAATCCACGCCTCGTGTGTGTAGCCTGTAAGAGGGAAAAAAATAAATCAATCTAGACATGCAGACATAACATTCGATTAGGCTGTGGACTAAAGGCATTTTTTTTCTTTTTTTTTTGTAAAGCCGAGAATTCTTATTAAACGCTCGTCATAAATTTTGTTAGAATCATTAGGACTATTTGCATTTAATCATGGTAGTGATTTATTATATGTCTTCCGTAAAGAGAGGAATAAGCATTTTATAATCAGACACTCCGCGTCTGATTTGTGTAGGTGCTAAACTACTAACTTCACTAGTTCAATAATGAGAAATCTGAAGATCATCAATAATCCTAGTCTGGAATATTGCCATCTATCTCTTTTTTTTATTTACTATGTACTTCTTATTTTCTCATAATTTATTGCTAAGGTAACTGCGAATCCAAGTTTTATTTATGTGTGAGTCGTACACCTAAACGTAAAATACAAATCGGGCGAGTATTTAACGTATACTAAATACTCGAAATGTTGCACAAAGAAAGCGGATAGCAACTGCTATCCGATTTATAATAACCCCTTGAGAATTTTTTCGAATAGAACATCCGCGATACAACGGCAAGAGGGGTAACGAAGGTGCGGTGCATGCACGTATAACATCTCACTCATTCTCGGCGGCGCGGCATGAATATTTGAGTTCGTGAATCACTCACGGAGTTGCGTGGCGTTTCATTTCCTGCGCGCCAGCTGTTTCCACCATATACGGTCATTAACGGGCATAAAGGGGAACGGGAAAAAAAAAGTCGGGTGCAGGAGTCGGGTGCGCAAGTAGTGGTAGTAGCGCGGCACGTGAACGCGGGGGTGTATAATAACGCGGTGTGTGTATCTGTTGCGCGTCGCTCGCTGTTGCGCAGAGTTGTCCAGGGGGGCGAAGAGCGGAGCTCGCAACGTTGCTCGCGGAGCGGAGAGGAAATCGGGAAGAATTCAGGGGGAGGGGAATGCAAACGGCGCGTCTAACAATGTCTTCTTTCAAACATTCTACTTTCTAGCGCCATTATATGAGAGTACGCATCATTAAAGCTGTCACAATTAGAATACCAGCTCGTTAACCATTAAGAATTCTACTTCCTAGGTATCTAAAGGCTTTTTTTTATAATAGATAGGTTTGTTTTGAGGATTTTAAATAATTGATTGAGTAATTTATTAAAGAAATTTATTGAAATGTTGAAATCCGTAAAATTAACGCGTTTTTCTTGAAATCATTTTTTCTAAACTTGCGTCAATGTACAATATAGCATCCTTAATATAGTCCTATTAATATACGTAATAGGACTATGTTAAAGATTGAGAGAGAAATAGGATTATATTAATCCTTAAATTAATATAATCTTATTTCAATGTATTATAAGATTGCTTTCAAACTCTGCATAAAGCAGGCATTTTTCTTTTATTTGAAAATACTATGCTTAGTTAATAACAGTTAAACTTTCAGAAATGTGAATTTTACGTAATTAAAATTTATATTAATTCGTCTAATTGCAGTTTAACCTTTGTATGACTATCTTTGCATTATCTTTGACAAAATGAGAAAATTGTAGCAAAAAAGAGGTAGATAACAGAATAATACTTATTAACGCAATTACAAAAAAAAGGTAAATTAACATGACTTATTATATTTGAACGATGGTGAAATAACAATACGATACACATATCTTCGAGATTTGCTGATCTCGAGATATTTTGGACAAGTTCTTTTATCGCATCTTTTATCGTATCATTTTGAATCACTATTACTTGCAATTCATCATATCAAATTGGTACCTTGTTATTAGTTATTGATGCCATTTAAATTCTGTTCGCGTTTCTTTTATTGTTCCTGACAATGCAATGGAGCACGCAATGAACGACTTTCGACGTTTTACGCCACGAAATCGATACGCGTACCGTACAGCGGGTTACGTAATACAAAAGTCCATGCCGTAAGCAGTGCAGAAGACACTATATTACGCAGGGAACAATTAATGACCATTTCTATGCCTCCAATTTGAACGTCTCAACAATCTCAGTTGAATTGGTCATTATTACAGAAAGAAAATTGATTCAGTTTTTCTTTAAAGCCAAATAATTGTGCGGAAAAATGTTACAGCACGAATATGTATGTAGTAGCTAAAAAAAAAATAAAATAATTTGCAACATAAAATATAAAAAGTTTATTATAAAATTAAGATTGGCATAACAATTAACAATTATTTTTATTAAGTATGAAATTTTATTACAAAGATTTTTGTGCAAGAGCTTTTTTCTATCTCTGACAAAATTTATTTCTTTAGATATCTATTATTCTTTTAACAATAATTAATTTAATTATTGGTTTTAGGCAAGTATAACTATTTTTTTGTTGTAGAGTTCGATAATAGAAATATTTGATGAACAGGACAATATTTTGTCTTATTAAAAATAATTAAAATAATCTTTTACTGAAATATGCTTTGTCGAAAAGTTTCTCTTAATTTAAATTTACTTTGTCATATCTTACAATTTTCAAAATTTTAACGTTGAATATTTTAGTAATTGTGTGCTTTCTCTCCTTCAAGACAGTCAACATCTTGCTTAAAGTCTATAAAGAATTAGACTGAAAAAGAAAATTGCATCACTTTAAGCATAATTTGCCCAAATACCTTCTTCAGTTGATAAATCTTTTGACATTTTTTAAAGACTGTTTTTAATTTTCAACAAAGAGTAAGAATCATCATGTGCATCAAACACGCCTCTTGCCGAGCACTCTATTTCAGCAAGATGCTATTTTTCCCTTCGATGGACCCTCACGAGGATCCTAGGAGAAGGCGGCACTTGCGATAAATCAGAAAAGTGTGCTGCGCGCGCGATCGATCAGCTGGCGCGTACCTATTATTGGCTGAAATAAAGGGAAGTCAACACAGAGGTAAAGGAGAGTGGCCGTGTCTGCAAGTGCATTTCATCAACGGCAGAAGGAGCGCAGTTGTGCGGCGGGTCGAGGAGGAGGAGGAGGAGGAGGAGGGAAGGGTGAACGGGGCGTGCAGGAGGGTTGTGATGGGGACGGCGGGGGGAATCAATAACGGCGAATGAACGCTCCGCACGCGCTCCCACAAGTCCGTTGATTCTAGGCCCTTTTAAAGACCGATAAAAATCTCCGTTGCGTTTAATGTTAACGCCGAGCTTTTCCTTTCGATCCTATTTCCTCTTTTTTTTTCTCTCAAGCGATCCGAAGATCGAAGGATGACGGAAGTGACGCGACAGTGACAACAAAAATTAATAAGTCTATTACTCGTTATATATGTACATGTATTTATCAAGTAATTTACATGTTTCGTCATCGTGGCAGTCATTAATCACGCTGTCTATTTGTAGATGCAAGTGAAGTTTTAAAAGAGATAGTTTATAAGAGACATAAGAGAAGCAAAAAAAAAGAATATAATCTAAGTTGTAAACTTTTATTACAACATTTATTCCATTTATTGTATTTATTTATCAGTTATAAATACAGTTGACCATAGTATACTTGTTTAATATTTTTTTATTAATAAAAAATATATACGTTTTTGAAAAATTATAATTTACGGACTAGAGATTTACTATTTCCGTGGTGTTATTATTATTCTCGGAATTATAATGAAAAAGAGAAAGGTGCTTTTAATAAACAGAAGAGTATAGTATACTCTTATTCAAAGTATGTGATTAAATTATTTGATATCGTGATAATCCCTGGCTCTATCTAAATCTTAATATCTTACAATTAGGAAACAATACAAATTATTATGTAGAGAGCGATGTACAAAGTGACATGGATTATCTATGACTTCTAGGTGGATTCTATATCTACGTTATCTATCACAGATCACAGATATAGCCCATAAAGCATATTTATATACCTTGAATGAACATTCCGCACATTCCTGTCGGTTTATCGCCTCTGATCTTTATCGACCCTGTGTGCGCAAAACAAACAGCAAGTATAAATAATTATACTTGATCTCTCAAACTAGCTACATAATTAAATATATAAATAAATCAATACTTCTGTAGTCGTTGAATTATATATTTGTAATAGCTATTAATATTTGTTTTCGTAGAGAGAAAATGAGCATTTAATGATATTTATACGACGATCAATTGCACGAGGAAATTTAATATGTTTAAGATGTTTAATACAAATAAAATGTTTAAAACAAAAAATAATATGTTTAATACAAATAAAAAATAAAAATTTTTGATAAAAAAAATTGTAAGTAGATAATAAAAATTATTTTTCTATTATATTGCGATAAGATATTTATCATAGATGTGTAATATATTGTGTTTAAGACATCATGTTTAATAAATATAAAATATAAATATATTTAAAAATCGTCTAAAGACAAGACTATATCAAAAGACATCTATAATAAAATCTTACTGTTAGTAATAAAATTTTTTGTGCATATGGATATAAATTATTCTCTATATAGTAAGCAATAAAAAGTTACTTTTTTTGTTCTATTACGATGAGATATTCGTAGATTTATAATATAGTAAACATGAAATATATATGCGGATATAACGAATTTAAAAAATGTCTCAGGTAGCTATAATAAAATCTTAGTAATAAAATTTATTATATGCGTGTGGATATAACTTTAACGAGCTGTTTAGACTTTCTAATTAAATTATATCTTTTATGATAAGTTATCAAAAAGGTTAATAGTGTCATTCTTTTCTAAGAGTCCCTTGTCCTTTCGAGTCCCTTGCTATAAGAAACATCATTACTACTCTCGACTTTGCTTCACAGATGGTCAAAAATGTGGTAAGATCATATCACATAACATATTACGTTACCCAGTGAGTAAAAACCAATCGTTAATCGCACAACGAAAGTCAAGGACGATGAAACCTGTTAATAGACATAAATCCTTACACTTTTCTTGCGTGACTGTAATTTATTATCCTGTTAGAAATTTAATCTCTACGATAATGTATAAACTTTACGTGATTTTTCTTTATAATTCTTTTATTTAATATTTGTAAATGTGTGTGTAGGCACATAAGGCGACATAAATGTCGCAACATCTTTTAAGCATTAAAAATGAAAAATTCCTACAATAGCGGGTGTAGAATTTTTTACTATATGAACAAAAAGAGTATTGTTGTAAAATATTCTTCAAATTTAAAAAGTTTCTATTAAATATAGAAATTATTGAAATGTACTACTAATTCTAATTATTTGAAACATAAAAAAAATCAAGCTACGATCTTTTTTTAGAACGTTGCAACCAAGTCTTACATAATCTTAAATACAACGTTGAGGAAATTGATTAGCAAAACTCAATCGTAGTCACACATCGTGGCGCGCATAACGACACGCAGAGAACACTTGTTACATAACAGCGTCATTTGCGCCATTGTACGAGCACGTGCGCACTGCACTGTCTATAAGCTGCATAAATGAGATAAAAAGAGGTCGTTACTCTGTAGTCCTGGCTTTCAAGAATACTTATAGGCGTTAGCTTCAGAGCACTAGCGATTGACTTATGCACGCAAAATTTTTATGCGCCCTATTTTTGCGGAATAAATTCATGTAGGTGGTGCGCACATATAAATTTATAACAAGAAGATAAATTTACCACAATGTTATATTATTTTATGTTATTATTTATTATATAAAATAATAATAATAATAATAATATTTCTAACTGATAGAAAAAGGTTTCTGCTATTTTTTTCTTTAAATTTTGTAATAATATTCCTTCGATGTGTTTCACACACATGTATGTGATAAATATATTAAAATATAATATAAAAAAATATGACATATTAAATGAAAAGTTTAATAAAAATTTTGGAAATTTACAAGTTTATTTTTTTTTCTTTCAAAAATCTTCTAGTTGTTGGGAATGATTTAAGACTAACATTTAAAAAATTACAATTACAAGAACCGCACATTTAATACGATTACGTAATTCGTATAGAATTCACGCATAGTGTTGCTGTGTAAGGTATAAATGCAAAAACAAGCTTCTCACGAAGAGTACTCGGTAAATACTCCACTTGACCATAATTCTATACCGTAGGCGTATTCTCATTGGCATCTACGTCACAAAAGCAATTCGACCGTTCTGGATACGAATGGTTACACAACAACCACCGACGTCAACGCAATCAGTTTCCACCCTGTCTGATTGAGAGCTCAATAAAATGCGATAGGCGAAATCTAACGATATATTGGTTTCGTGACTCACAATCAATGTTAAGGAAATTAATGCTGAAGGCATGCCGACGCGATCAACAATCTACGGAGAACGGGTGTGTCGCGCCATGTATACGCATATATTGCACGCGGACACATGGCCGACTTTGCGGGCGGTTTCCCACAGGTCGCGGAAACGCTCGCGTAATCGCGATCACGATTCTGCGATCTTTAATAGGCCTCCTATCTTTCCGCATTCCCAACGAGACTACCATGCCGTCGTAATCATGGCGCGTTTAAACAACTACCGCAATTTGTCTATAGTGCACGCGGGCATGTAATAGACGGGTGTGTCACCCTGCATGCTCGGGGACGCATGGTCGGTCCTCCACCGTGTGTCATCTCGAAGCAACGGTCTTCGACGGAAAGAATGAGAGAAAGGAAAAAATGACGATCCCCGAAACCCTTCCCTCGCAGATTTCACGAATGAATTTCCTGAAGGAAAAAAATCCCTCGATCTTGGGCGTGGCGTCTAACCTACACCCCGTGTAAAAGCGGACGATTCGCGCGTCCGCGTCCCACACTGCCGCAATGTGAAGCGGGAAGGAAGGGGCCCCTCGTGAGTCCCACTTACCGTGATAGTAAAGGGCGCCGGAGGCGTTGAGGGGTGGCGGGCTAGGGGCCGTAGCCCCCGCCGTGGGACTGTGCGGCCCCCAGCAGGTCTGCTGATGGTCGACCTGATGATTATCGACGTCCCCGACCACGTCGATCTCCTCGTCCTCAGGTTCATGCCTATGCGGCCGTTTCTCCATCGCATTCGCGGTCTGATGTAAAGCGTGATGTTGCGCCTGTTGTTCCTGCAGGGCGGCACCGAGCGGCGTCGCGTCCTTCTGCTCGATCTGCTGATCATCCACGCGTGCCTGCCACTGATTCCACTTCCACTTTTTCGCCATGAGACAGCGTGGCATAGTGGTAATGCGAATCCGTTGTCTCAAGGCCGCCGACAGCAGGAGCTGGCGATGGCGATGGCCGTCGTCGTGGTCCGGTCACCAGGTACGACGGCTTCGACCCCGTAGCGGGACACCCACGCGGTACAACACCAACACCAACACGCTCGACACCAACAACCGCAGCACCAACCGCACCACCGACGTCGTCACGATCGACGGCCGCCGCGACTACGGCGCGTCCGTCGCCGTCGCTGCTGGCTGCTCTGCCTACTGCTCCGCGAACGACGTCGCCGTCGCCGTCTGTGCGACGTCGGCGTCTACGTCGCGCCCGTCCGTCACCCGGCCCGACCGTCTGTGATTGCGGTCCGTCGGACCGGTGGACGATGAGACCGTCTCGGTTGGGTGGCCCGCGCTCGCTGGCCGGCTTCGCCTTCGTCCTACGTGGTACGCGCTGGTGTGGGACCTGCAGCCTCGTCATCGGCGCGGCGAGGGCGGCTCCTTAAACGGATGCACCACCGCCACCATGCCAGCTCGCCAGCTCGGCTTGGCGATCCTTGCGAGTTCTTCGCGTTTGGTTTCCTGCGTCCGTCCGCTCGTGGGGGTGGAACTCGTGAAACTCTTACTCTGGACCGTACTTTCCGCGGTTATACTTTGCGCTCGTATAGATAAAAATATATCTGTGTGTGTATGCGCGCGTGTGTGTGTACGTGTACATGTGTGTGTTATGTATATTTGTGTGACTGTGTACGTGTGTGTATGCGTGTGTGTCTGGGGGTGGCTCTCTTCTTGCGCCCCGAGACTTGCCGAGTGGACCGACTGACTGACTGACTGACTGACTGAGGACCGTCCGTCCGTCCGTCCGCCCGTCCGTCCGTCTGTCCGTCCGTTACTCTTCCGGTCGCTCCCTGTCGCGGCTCTCGCCAGTGACAGGGGGTGGCCTCGAATACGACGGCGACGACGGGGTGCGACTGTTTAGTCGGTGGCGCTGCCGCTCCGCGTTACCGTCCCCTCGGCCCTTTATCCCTTCTCCGCGGCGGCCGCCACCTCCGTCACGCTCACGGGGTTGTCCTTGTCACTCACTGCAGGCTCGACTAGTCAGCAGCACCCCCGGCGTCCCTCCGTTGCGGCTTCCCTATCAACGGAATCGAGGGATGGCGCTGCTGCCGTCGCGCGCCGCTGCTGCTGCTGCTGCTGCTGCTGCTGCTGCTGTTGATGGTGATGGTCTCGTACGAGGGGTTGCACAGCTACCCCTCGAAAGTGCTGATGTCGGTTCTCGATTCCTGCAGGTCGCTCGTTGTGGTTGTGCGTACGTGACACACGCGCGTGGCACGGGTACAAGCGTGTGTTACTGTTATCAGTGGCGTAGGACGCGAATTCTTTGCACAGTATCGCAATCGTTAATCGGTGCACTTTCATAAACGGCTGGGGACATTTTTGACAGAAAAAAAATCTACATTAATTTCCTTAATAAATAAAAAAAGGATATATCTATCATTTTCAAGTTATGAACGAGCAAAAAGAAAGGTCTTCCGCTTTAATGAGCTATTCTAATCAATAATAAAATTATGTTATTCTATAGTTAAATATTTAGATGGTTTGTATTCTCTCTCTCTCTCTCTCTCTCTCTCTCTCTCTCTCTCTCTCTCTCTCTAATAAAGTTTTAATTTGAAACTTAATTATAAAGACATAATGTTAAAAATTGGAAGATTACAAAAACAACAAATCTTCTTCGATATTTTTACGAAAAAAAATCAAGCAAAACAATAACTTTAGATTGTCAAAAATTTAAAAAGTTATTATATAAAATACTGCGCGAAAAATAAGACTGTATACTTCACGAAGACAGAAATCTGATCTATGTATTATAAAAAGTTAAGACGTATTATATTTAAATTAAAGAAAGAAGAAATGTATACCGTATGCAATAGCGGCGTAAACTGTATATCGTAACCGCAATATTTCGCTTTGCCTATGTAAACGGTGATTTCGTATTCTTAGTACGTACACACGCGGCACCATACTTTGCGTAAAGTTGAATTTATGTTGCACCACGTATTTGGAGCTTGCTACGTAGACTGGGTCGCCCAGCCTGATTTAAAAAGGAGATTGGAAAAATGTAAAATAGGAAGCCGCAGTTACAATACGTTGTACTCTTCACTACGCTTGCATTTATTCAGAATAAGGGCGGAAAGCTGAAACTATTCCCGCAATTCTATATATATTTATCACTTTTCAAATTAATTACAAGTACACAATGTAAAATGTTATTTCATGTATTTTTAAATTTTATTTTATAATTATCCAGTATTTTTTTTAGTAGTTTTCGACAAATTTCGATGTTACGAAAAATACTAAATTGCAAGTTTGTTTCTCGGAAACTCGATAATAATCTGCAATTTTCGCTTCTCCATTTTTCTACGATTCTATATATAATCTACAATATCATGTAATTGCAAATAAGAGAATACGTCTCCTGAATAGATAGAAACACGATTACCGCGGCGCGCGCGATGAACTTTCCAGGGGATAGTTTAGTCGGGATGAGATTTCCGGTAAACCGGCAAAGATTTTCGATCTCCGGTCATCGACCTCTCTTATGCTACGCAACGCGCTAAACATAAAGCTATCTGTAAAATCTTTCCCTCGCAACTCCGCCGCTCTTTATCGCACTGTGCGCGCATCCGGCGCAACACACGCATATACACACGCATAAACATCTCCCGGGACTTCTGCAAAAATCGAAGGAGGAACAGCTGGTCAGGGTGCCACGTTTCTGAACGTCGTTCCTGGCGTTACGACGAGCATGTAAACTCTTTCCTTCTCTTTTCCTCTCTTCTCCCTCCCCTTCTCTCTCTTTCTCTCTCCCCCTCTCTCTCTCTCTCTCTCTATTTTTTTCAAGAGAGAGAAAGAGAGAAAGATAAAGAGAGAATAGGAAAAAGAGAGGGTGGATGGTAATTCCTACGGAAGATTGGCTGCATAGTAGCGATACCAAGGCGATATACGTCGTCTACTTGTTGTCGCCGACAGCGGTGGTAGTGCGGCCGACGGTGACGATGGTGGTAGTAGTGCAAGGGTGGCGCACGTTGGGGCGATACTACACACAGGGGTGTATCTTCCCCCTCGTGCAAAAACGGAGGAGAAACGAGGGTGGCGCGGCGCGAGTGTAGGGTGAAAAGCGATAGGGCGATAGCGGCACGCAGAGGCACGAGAGGAAGACGAGCGGTGCGACGAAAGGGGTGCGGCGAGAGAGAGAGGGTGAGAGGGGAAACGGGAGTCGCACATGCGCCTGCGTTTGGCATCGACCCGATGTCTAGGCAACACCTGGTAGCGCCCCACGTGCCACGTTAGGGTGGCACCAGCGTCACTCCGCACAGGCCGCGCGCGATCCATGCCCCCGGTATCGAATATCCCACTGGCCTTCCCCCGCTTACCCCTCCCCGCCCCTCCTCCGTCCACAAGCCCGCTTCCCGTCGGGGTATCTCGTCTACTGACCCACGCCAACGGAGGAGAGAGACGAGATAGACGTCTTTCGACCCTCCTGAATTCTACGCCCGATGCACGCGCCGCGGATGCCCGGCGCCGCGACGAGGGAATTCCTTTTTCGGGGTGGGGCGCGCGGCTGGAATTTCGATACTCGAGCTCGCGCGCGGATGGGTCCATCACTGCGCAAACGATTCGGGGAGGGTGGCAGGGAGGGAGGGAAGAAACTCCAGTATGCCGTGTAATGCTGATATTACACGCGTCACAAAACGCGCCCGAAAGCGGACGATGGGGCGCGAAAATTTTTTTTCGCCGTAAAAAGTTTCACCGCGTATCCCTTATGCGACGCGCATGATAAACTGATTGTACAAAATGTAATGTCGTATTCAGATTGGCCGTTGTGTTACGAAGGAGATTCAAGAGTTACGGGACGAGGAAGCCTGCACCCGATTTAAGCAACAGAATGGAGAAACGAGGAATGCGACGCGTTTTTATTTCCTGAAGGATAAAAATACGGCTCCTGCCGTATACGATTCGTACCACAATTCATCCTCCTTCCCCAGCATCCCCTCCGTAGAAATTAGTTGCTCTGCATCCCCACTTCTCGACGCTGCTCTATCGACACAGTTAAACGCGAAAGGAAACCTCGATATTTGAACTCGATAAAGAGAATTGGGAATTTCTCTCGCGAATAATATTTGCTAATTGGAACTTTCTCGTGGAGAAATAGTAGGCTGTTACACAGGTTGACCTAGAATCCTCGTTCGTGCTCCACGTGGTAAGGCCTTTCGACTATTTTGATCCAGTTTTCCCGCCTCAAATCCACGGATGAAAAGACCTCGATTTGGAGAATATTACCCAATTATTTTAAATTAAATTACTGTTGGCTGAAACAAAAGTGTAACACAAATCGGCTTTAATTTAATTACTATAAATGTTAAATACGACGGTGTATCGCTGATATTTAAATAGATGGAATCAATTATTTTTTGTGAATTATTGAGAGGGATTAAATAGGATATCTCTGAAAAATGTTTATTCAATCTATAACCCATTAACATTATAAATTAGTTTATCAAACAAGATTTAGTTTCTCTCTCTCTACATGCGTTTACCCTAAAATTCATTTTATATTATAATTATTGTACACTTCTGCCATGTATGTCATAAATAATTCAATTTTATCGATTCAATCAGTTACATTTAACGTATAAATTAAGCTCATGAAATTTTACGTTGGTCTTAACATGAATATATGACAATAAAAAATTAAGACCACAACTCGAATTTCTCTATTAAAGCAAAGAATTATTTACATTTTAGAGAGAATTCACACCTTGATAGAAAAGTAGAAAACAGAAAAGCAAAAGCCAATCAGAACTCGCGCTGGTAGCAAGAAAATCAGAAAGCAGAAACTATCGATTACCAGTGCGAGTGCTGATTGGTTCCTGCTTTTCTATTTTCTGCTTTTCTGTCAAGGTGTGAATTCTCCCTTATAGATTGTCATGCAATTAGCTTTTGTGTAATCTCGATAGCAT